TGTAAACCACCACAGTTACCCGCTTCAGATAAACGGAAATGCAACGCTATGTAGGTATTCACCGTGAATATTTCACGGGACACTGGCACTAAATTAGCTTCTTGAGATGAAAGCCAAGAAGGTCAACTTGCTCAGAGGCTGCACTGAAATCGACTCTGAATTCCCCCCTTAAGTCCCAGTCGGAATTCCAGCTCCCGTCCCCCGGTCAGAGGCTCGCCCAGTCAGGCACGCTGCCCTCACCCGGCGCTGGCCAAACCTGCTGGCATAAGATGTGTGCATCCCAGGGCCCAGCCCTGCACAGCCCCATTAAGTTGTAAATGGCTTTTATTTGCTGAACAAATGTTAACGCCATTCTATGCTAATGGGTAATGCAACGGAAAGCACCTCCGGAAAGCACCTCCGTACTATACACTGGAGCATTTATGGTGAAATCCTGTGTAACGCAGAGACCCGTCTGTGATAAACAGATGCCAGCCTGAGGGCTTCCCGCCCTCACGCCCATCTTCACAGAGCTCAGTGCTAATGTCTCCCTCGGCTAAGTGAGTTTTTCAGTAGCACACAGATTTATTAAGTCCTAGGATTAAAATGCTCTGAGTAAAAATAAAAAATAATTACCCTTTAGAAGATAATGTAATATTTAAATGACTCAAAAACAGTCACCTCAGAGAAAACCGTTAGAGAGGCAAGGGAAAAGAAGTTTGGAAAAAAAAGTGGGAGCCCTGGCTGGGGGATTCGGCTGGTGGGAACACTGTCCTGTACACCAGAAAGGTTCCCGTTCCATTCTCGGTTGGGGTGTACAAGTGGCAATGGATAGATGTTTCTCATATCGATGTTTCTCTCTCCCCTTCCTCTTCCTTTAAAAATCAATAAAAAATACCCTTGCTAAGGATTAAAAAATAAATGATGTTGGTAATATTGGCCACAGAACCTCTATGAGTTCAAGTGTACAAACACATGATCTGGCACTTCTGAATCATAAACATGTAAAAATACACAGGTGGTATTTTTGAACATTTAATGAACTGGGGACTTGGGGGTGTGTGTGTGTTGCTTCTTAATTTAATAAAACACCATAGCTTTTGGAGGGGGGGGGGGTTACTGGTGCCAGGCAGTGCTTGTTACAATCACAGCTCTCCCATCACTAACTCTTTGGCCTTGTGCAGGTTATGCCTAACTTCTCACCTCAGTGTCTTCATCTTTGAAATGGGGATGTTAACACTGCCTCCCTGTGGGCACTGTGAGGCTTCAATGTGTTTGCACATGCAAGGAAGTTAGTATTTCAATCGTCATAAATGTTAGCTCTCGATCATTTGGCATTGGTTACAGGATGTCACACCTACCGCTAACGAGAAGAGATGTGAACGGAAGCTATGGCCTGTCTCACACACTGCGGCCTTCCTGTGACTTCTCACTGTTCAGAGACCTCACTGGCTCTGTCTTCTCAGGACCGCACTCCCCCAGCCTCTCCACCGAACCAGCCCTCCAGTACATCACCAGTGACCTTCCTGTCCTTTGTCCCCTCCACCGGGTGGTTTGCCATCCTTGTCTCTCTGGTCCCCTCGGAAAGTCTGAGCGCCGGGGAGCTGACACGCTCTCTTCATGGGTTCTATGGTTTTACAGTCAGTTTTCCCGGTGTCTCTCACCATTCCTCTCACCTCCACTGGCCCCCCGATCTCTCCAGGCAAATGCACCCATTTCTGTGATTTTATCACCAATATGCTCATTAATCCAAATGTTGGTCTACAGCTCAGTCCTCTGATCTGAACTCCAGACCCAAGTATGTTCATTTACGTTCTACTTGTTACTGGAATGTCTCAAAAGGTACTTTAAATTCAAAATGACTAAAACTAATTTATGATTCCCTCTCTCCCTCGAAGCCAGGATCTCCCACCCTACCCCCATGCCTGTGAGTGCCCCACAAAGCATCTCCGCTCTGGACACTGGCAACAGCCTCCGCTCCTGTTCTTCCTCCCTCTTGCCCTCAATCCATTCCCCGTAGCAGCAAGTGGCACATTTATGTTGCCAACGTGATGGCACTGCTCCCGGCTGAGTCCTTCACTGGCTCCCTGTGCTTATGGGAACTTGAACTTGGCTGAGAAGGGAGTCTAAATTTTGGACCCTGGGACCACAGTGTGGGAGCAGTACCGATACAGAGTGCATTTGGCTTCTCCTAACTGCCTTTATCCACTCTGGCCTGCCCCGGCCTTCCTGCGTCTCTGGCAAGCCAAGCTCTGGCATTTCCTCTGCTTGGAACCCTCGGCATCGCATTCCTTAGGTTGACTTCCTGTTCACCCTCCAACTTCAGTTCAAGGTTGCTTCCAAAAGGGAAGCTGTTCTTGACCCAAAACGAGGCCATGTGCCCTATGATAAGGAGGCTGCCATAAAACCGTGTTTGTCACAATTAACATTCTACTTTATTTGTAAAATAAAAACTTGCTGTATTTCTGTAGAGTTGAAGAGGGCATGTCTGGTTGGCCCACTATTGTTCCCCCAGTACCTCCGTTGTGGACAGGGCATACTAACCCGCTAAATGAGTATCACAGTTTTCATCATTTTAAGGCATTTTTTGATGGCCCTGCTCTTACTGCAGAACAGAAGGGAGCCTTCACTGAACCATGATGGCTGTGAGTAACAAGTAACTTCGGTGACCTGGGATCAGGGGAGGGAGACTCACAAGGACAACTGGGCTTCGCCAAGACCAGCCACGAAGCCAGCGTCGACAGGGCAGGGCACCGCTCCCATGGTTTACGGCCAACAGAACGTCTGTGAGCTGCCAGAATGGTACCCACCTTCCCTTTTGGAGGATTCTTTCACTCGCTCACTGGGTGACTTATCCACAACAAAATCGTAATTCTAAATTCCAGACTCTGGGGCCACCGTGTAGGAGCAATGCTGATGCACATCAAATACAGACACACATACAACAGGCTGCAACCGAGAGCGCGGTGCTGGTGTTTGCAGGAGAGGACGTGCTTCGGGGCAGAGGAAAGGTGGTCCTGAGAGTGAATGGTGTGCGTGAGGCAGGGGGCAGCCAGGAAAACAGTCCAGGAGAAACGGGAACACTGACAGGGTCTTTGAGGAGCTGCCTAAATACCAATACCTTAACTACCAACACCTTGGGCTGCCAGGCCAGGAGAGAGGCAAAGGCTCCTGGCAGCACTGTTTCCTCCGGCTCCACAGCTCCTCTCACCTGCCCACTCCCCATGGGCTCCAGGAGGAGGGAGCGTACAGAGAGCTCCGCTGAGCTAAGGAAGGCATCGCCTCCGCCGCCCTTAACCTTGCATACACAAACCAATCAATGATCCGGTCGGTCCAGGCTTTCCCTTTTATTTACCCGATTCAAGGTGGGCGGTGGCAGCGGTGGATGGACTAGGGTCAGAGTCGTGGGAAGGTAGCAGTGGGGTAAGGAGAATGAGGCTCTCATCAGCTCTCTGAAGGAAAAACACTAATGCTTTAGCCCCTGGGAGGCTTCCTCGGGGAAGCTGTTCCTGAGCACCTTTGAGCTTGACCTTTGGTTGCAGCCTTCAATTTATTCTGGGTTACATTACTTAACTACATCCTTTTGGTCTGTGAATTACTCAAGCTCTCACTCGAACTTCAAGCTCTGCGTGGAGTATGGAGAAGAAGGGTCACATGACAGTTCTTCCATGTCCTCCGAGAAGAAGGAAAGGATAGAGGGGCAGTGTTTCAAACAGCAGCACCCAAGAGGGCCCGGTGTGCTCTGGCATTGTTATTCCGCAGATGGAAACACCATAACCCACCAAAGGAAGATGGCCTAAACATTGGATATTTGGACTCAAGGAGGAAAGTACATTGAAAGGGAAAATTGGAAAAGTACATCAGCATTTTACACTATCGGTTCTTTAATCTGAAACAAAACTCTCCAGGACCGAGAAAACAGATAAAAAAATACAACCTGTATTTTTTAACATATCCTTAAATGCCAGAAAAGAAGCTACCCGCTTTGAAAATGTTTTCTATATAAATCTCTACCAGAAAACCGAAAGTCAATATTAATTCAATAAATCGAACTTTAATTCATTAGTTTGGTCAACTTGAGTTCCCAGATTTACATATGACATAATGCTTTCCAGGAAGAAAAAATATCCTGTCCCGGAAAACGATCCGATGGTTAACGTAAAGTTCAACCAAATAATTATATTACTATAATTCACTAGAAATTCAAGAAAAAGTGTGTAGGGCGCCCAAAACTTAGAAACATATAAAAATGAAGTTTTTTTCCTTCCTTTATAAGGAAGACCATACCATCTGGTCTAAGTTATCTTGGTGTTCTGCCGAATGCAGTGTCAGCTTTCTGAGAACTGTAAATTATTAGGTTACACCCCTAAAAATAGGAGTGAAGAGAAAAAAGGGATGAAAATGACACCGTGACTATAAGCTTGGACACGCAGGAGATCAGTAACACGGGACAACAGCCCAGCCCGAGTGCCTCTGGGTATGAAAGGGTTCATGGAGGACATCCGCTCAATATGGCGGTGGCGAAAGGGTAGGTTTACGAGAGTAACACGCAAATTAAGAACACGCAAAAACGATACAGAAGTAAATTTCCAGACCCCGAGAAACCACTTCGTCAGAGTGCTTCTGATTCCAGTTGCGTTTAGGGGGAAAAATACCAAGGCAACCCCACCCGATTGGAAAGTACAGATTAAAGAGGCTTCTAAACGTCTCCTGACAACCAGGGTCCAAATGGGAGCACAACCATGTATTTCGCCTCAACTCTGCTCCTGTCTCCCAGCTAATCCTGTGAACACAGGGCCACCCCAGCCCCGGCCCCAGCCCCCCGCTGAGGAGGGCTCCCAAGATCTCTAACTGAAGTGCAACTTCACAAGGAGGCACGAAGGTAACTTGTGTGATTCCCCCCAGAAAAGGTAAATGCCCAACAGGACAACCGGCGCCCTCTGACGGTGCAGCCACATGACTGCCTTCTATCTGGAATCCTGCCCACCCTGTTGGTAAGATTGGTAAAGGAACATCCTTACCCGGATTATCTCCTCCACACAGCTGTTGGTTTCTCCAGGTCTACTCTCCTGAAAGCAAAGGAAAAAAACACAGGAATTAAAGCCGGATAGACGAGATTTATGGTTACAAAGAAAAGATGAATGTTAGCTCCTAAATTCAATGGAGTTTGGACTTGAGAAAATGCCTACACTGGGACCTACCCACAAGCCCCATTCCTTCCTCTCCCAGCCTCTGATAACCGCTAACTTACTTCCTGCCACTATGAATTTATAAATTCTGGACATTTCATAAAAATGCAATCACAAAATACGTGGACTTTGTGTCTGGCCATTGTCACTTAGGATCATGCTTTCAAGGTTCATCCACGTTGTACCCCATATCAGCACTTCCCTCCTTTTTGTGGCTGAATCATACTTCACTGTATGGATGTACCACTTTGTTTATCCATTCATCAGCTGGCGGGCATTCTGTTGTTTCCACTTTGGCTACTGTGATAGCAAGTCTGTGAGCTGCTGTGTGCAGGTTTTTGTTTGGGATGTAACTGGAAGTGGAATTGGTGGCCATATGGCAGTTTGCTGAGCTTTTTGAGGAACTGTCAAACTGCCTTCCCCAGTGTCTGTCCCGCCCCCCAGCAGGCTCTGACTTCTCCACGTCCTCACCGGCACTGTTATCCTCCAGGCTTGTTTTGGTGGCAGCTACCCCAGTGGCCATGAAGTGGTGTCACATTGGTTAGTGACGCTGAGCATCTCCAGGTATAATACATGTTGGCATTTGCATCTTCTTTGGAAAAATGTCCTTTTCCATTTTTTAAATTGGATTGTTTATCTTTTTATAGTTTTGTTTTAAGAATTCTTATTATATTCTGAATATTAGACCTTTTGTCAGCTGTATGATTTGTATGTATTTTCTTCCATTCTATGACTATACTCTCTTGATAGTGTTCATGGATGTACATTTTTAACTTCGATGAAGTCCAACTTACCTGTTTTTTTTTTCTTTATTGTTTTATTTTTGGTATCATATCTAAGAAACTGTGGCTAAATCCAAGGTTATGCAGATTTACCCATTTTACCTGAAGAGTTTTGCAGTTTTAGTTTTTATATTTAAGTCATGAATCCAATAGTTTGAGAACTTTTAGGTAAAGAAACATTATCCTTGTATAGATTATTCCATTCTAGACTCCTTATCAAAAGATCAATAACAAATGTGTAAAGCACAGCCACAGCAGCTAATGGTGCATGAACACAACATACATGTCTATCCTTATAAATCAAGAAAAACGGTGTTAGGTATCACGACAGAATTAGCAATACTATTTCATTGCCCTCTCCTACACTCACCCTTTCTTTTGTTCCTTTAAAGGTTAGAGTTTGGTGACATACATCTAGTGAGTCCCCACTCCACCCCCCAGACTTACTCCGGACTTCTCTGGAGATGTCACTATGCTGACACTCTGATCAAACTGGCTCAGAGAGCTCTTTTCGGAACCTGCCCCAAACCTGCTTCCTTTCCAAGGCGGCCTGAGGAACCCGTCACACAGGCTGCCTGTAAATTCTGACTCAGGCACGGGCTTGACGGCCCTTTGAAATGATCTTTAGAATTTAGTGGTGGGAATGACGGTCTCAATTTAAAAAAAAAAAAATGTTTCCTTAAACCAACAACTATTTCTCTTACTCTACTTCCAAGTCTAAATCCTTTCCTACCACGTAACATTCAGGTAGAGCAAATACTCAATTCTCAGTGTATATCTTCCACCCTAAAACAATTAATAAAGGAAAACTTGATTTCATGGTCTCCTGGTGGACTCACCCAGATGCACAGTACACTGAAAAGAATCATCAAGTTAAACTTTGGGTTTGACCCCTTAAAGCTGAGCTTCTCCTGAAAGTAGATTTATATACATGACAGGGTGCTCTTATAAGAAGCTCTCCCTGTAACCCAATAAGTTTCCATGACCCTTCTCTGAAAAGGGAATGCCCGGAGGGAAATGCAGTGTGGATGCCCCGGAGTCAGAGTATGTAGAATTACTACGGTGGGTCACCTCAGGGAGCTCCAACCGTGAGCTCTGATGGTCTAGAATGACATCAGGTCTTCTGTACCAGGAGGGCCCCTTGCAAAGTTGAGGAGGTGAGACCAGACCCAAGGACTTCTAAGAACAGTCTCAGGCAATCCCGGCCTTAAGGTACAATGAGGAAGTCCTTAGCAGGGAAACGCTCTGGCCTTTTCTGAAACAGTTCTGACTCCTGGTGTTACAACAAGTAGAACCTAAGTAGGGTAGTACATTGGGTTTGAATCTCTAGGAACCTGTCTAGAATGGAGTGGATGCATGAGATATGGTATTAAAGAAAGTCTGAATGAAAAGGAAGCCTAGAACTCATTTTAGACCACTCAATGACTCTAGCAGATGGAGAACCGTGGCCCAGAGGAATGGAGGACTTTGTTCAAAAATCGTTCAGGTGGCAAGGAGCAATCAAGGCAGAATCCACATACATCTCCTCAACCCCAGTTCAAGTTTAGAACTGCCTCAACTGGAGGTCACTGTCTTGTTTGAAAGGAAAGAACGTGGATAGTGCTGGGGTCAATTTCCCCCTTCCTTTCAACGCTGCAAATTCTCCAACACTTGGTCACTCTGTCTCTCCCTCACTAGCTTCTGACATCGCATGCGGAGACCAGAGCAGGAAGTGATGGGAGAGGAAGTGGAGAGAAAGGGTTAAAACTACTATCCCTTCTCTGGCATTAAAGAAGGAGAGACAGGACCTGTGTGCTCTGAGACTGGAGGACAGAATTCCCCCCCTCCTCTCCTAGACACACAGAAGGGGGAGGTGGGGAGGGCTGTGCTGACAGTGTGCAGGGGTGAGGGGAGACCAGAGGGCCCTCCACCCACTTGAGATCTTTCTTAACTCTGGTTTCAGTTGCAGTTGTGTGCTTGGATTATAATTACGTTGAAAACTTTCAGTGTTTATAAGCAAGACTGAAGCATGCCTGTAATTTACATCTCCAAACTGGAGTTTCTTTTCTCACAGCAAAGTTGCTGCTTCCCTTGGAAAGGTACCCACTGAGAAGCAGGGCTGCACAATGCAAATGTTAATCACTCTGGGATTTTTGAGGGTTTGTAGCTGCTGCTTCATGCTGAGCCGCTGAGCTGTTGTTCTTATTTACTCCGACTCTGATGAACCCACTCCATTTTGCTATCATTACATTTTGGAATCTGTCATAACAGTCTCACCTCGTTGAATCTCCAAGTTAACTTCAATTAAAAGCGAGCAACCCCAGCTGATTCTCCTCCACAGCCTGGTTTGTCACGTTCCTTCTCCACGGAACTGCTTTCCCCAAATCCTACTACTTAAGGATGCACACCACACGCCCTGCCAGGGAAATGCGAGGAGCTGAGGACAGCAGACCCCTAATAATGTTGTTTCACCCGTCAATTTGTTCCAGTATCGATGAGACGCCATAGAAACTTAGCTCTTGTTTACATCAATTAGTCTATGGTAAAATTTCACTATACATCAGCTCCTCTTAAAGTCACCAAACCTATTGACCCCTGAGTGAGGACTTACTGCAGAGCTCAAGCAGCAGCCAGGAGCGTGCTGTCAGCGAGAGCAGAGCCCCTCATTGCCATGCCAGGCACAGAGCCCTGGAAGAAGCAAGCGAGGCTTAAGGAGAAAACACTTGATCAAATCAGTGGGAAATGGCATTTCACTGCAGAGGCGATGAAGCCTGTTTTAAAAAATAGCTTAACTCTTCATCGGACACATTTAATGCAGAACTTCCATTCTAAAATAAACTACTTTACAGTCACAGCGCCTTTGTCTGCAAGCTCTCAAAAGGCCCTCAAGCGTTTAGAAATTGTTTATCACATGCACCCTCTTAAATACTTCTCCAGAAGTATTTTAAAATAAATCTTACTATTCTCGATTTACAGGACACCTCAGATACGAAGAGATTAAGCGTGCCATCAATGCCACCAAAACAGTGGGTGAAGGTCTGAACTCAAATTTGGGATCATCTAATTCTGTATGAAGTCTGTCCAGTCACTGACTGTGCCCCCAGCCTCACCTGAAGCCGGGGTTACCTGTGGACCAGAAGGCAGTCGCCAGTTCTCTTCCACATTCAGCCTGTCTTACACCCAACCTGACACCTCCCCTTCCGAGGGCTACACTGTTCCTATCACCCAGGCCGAAAGCCCGGCTTCATCCCTCATCAGTCTCCCCCTTATCTCCTGAATCTGACCACCATTCACATCCACCTCTTCCTCCAGGATCCTACTGTTACCATATCTCCAGACATTTATACAATGAGAGAAAAAATAAGCAAACAAAATCATAAAAGATGCATAAAGGCATATAATAAAAATGATAGCAGACAATTTTAACTAAAAGACAGGTCATGGAAAGAAAGAATTAGAGAGCACAATACAGAGGGAGTAAAAATAGGACATTAATAGGAATGCTAGGGAAAAGGAAGGGAAATAGAAATATTATGGAGAGTAAATATATATTAATCTACCTCTATTTTTCCAAATAGACAAAGGACACTCCTTCAAAAGCTACATAGGAAGCTAATTCAAAAAATAAAATTGAATGAGGCTAAATTAATAGATAAAATGAACTTGGAATGCTAAGAGGAAACCCCGACTTCTCAAGCATGCCTGTGATAGTTACTGAATGGTACTTACTGAAGCGGTCATACACACAGCTACAAACAGCTTCAAAAAATCCCAATAAGTAGCTGTGTTATAGCCCAGTTGCCTTAACCACAAGTTATCAAAATAATAAGTGATGAATTAAACATTGTGCAAGCATAAAATCTCCTAGAATTCTTGGAATAAAATGGATATTACACACTTATAAATAATTCTTTGTATTTACAGAAAAATAAAATTAAAATGCTGCAAAAGAAAATTATGGGATGCCCCCAAAGATATTATTTGAGGCAAATTCATATACTAAAAGTTTTAATTATTTTTAAAAGGAAATTTGTGTACTAATATATTAAATTTTTAAATGAAAAGGAACATACAAAAGGAATAAATAGGGAAAACCAAAGAAATATTTATAAAACAAAT